TCGTATTTGAATTCGCCCTTCTCCTCCACAAAGGACACAAAAGGACGACACGACGTCGCATCCAAATACTCCCGCCGAGACTCGCCCGCTTCAGTTTCAGAGATCGAGTCGCTCGCCTCCCGCGCACCCTCTCCTCCCACGTGCAACCTTTCAGTGCCATATGGGTTGCCCGTTTCATCCCCTTTCTTTACGTATTTTTAAAGAAGGAAAAATGAAAATAAACGGAAATGCTTCATTAACTTTGCGATCAATGCGAGCGAGAAAGCGAAAGCAACAAACAACCTGCGAGCGGGTTTTGGGGGGCAAAAGAAACAGATGAAGGCGAGATATTGGCTGGTTAATTTCCATTAGATTGCTAATCATGATCTGCCCACGCCGCTGCGCCATATTTTCCTGCTGACAGATATATTTCCAATGCGATCCAGCGCCCTATGGTATGGTGCGGGGCGTGTCCCCTCCCCCGCCTCAGCTGGTCGACCCCGACAGCAAGCCTAATTTTTTCCGCGAGTATGAACCTAAAGAGGCTCTTGCGGTTTAATACGCCGTTGCCCCCGCGGGGACCTCGCGCTACATTAACCGCGCGCCCTGGAGCCGCCCAAGTGGTCGTTGGTCGTGTCGCTCGCCCCCTCCCTCAACCACCATAACCACCTCTCCTTAACCAAGAATCTCGGTCCTTTCGTTTTGTGCATCCGTTTTTGAACATGTTATAAAGCCCGTTGTTCAATTTGCGGGACAAGGCATAGCCCACTGCTTAAACTGATAATAAACGAAGTGGGCAACTGCTTGAAACTTATTGTAAATAAAGTGTGCAACTGCTGGTTGAATACTCGCAAGTGTGCAACTTCGTACTTGTTCAACTCGGTGGGTGTGCACTCGCAAGTGCCCAACTCCTCTAATAAACACTGCTTTCCCACACAGTGAGCGTTGAATCTGAGAGAGTGTTCAACAGAGGAGTTGCACACCTGCAAATATTCAACCTGCAGTTGCACACTTAGTTTATCAGTGTAACTGTTATTTTACCGCTCGAAAGTGTTTGTGTGTGTGACGGGGGTGGGGAGAAAAGGGTTTACGCGCGTATTGTGTGTGCGTGCGTGCTTTCTCTGCCTGTTGTGTGCGACTGAAAAAAAATAGAGGGAAAATAGGAGGTCATGGTGGAGGATCGGGACGGTCGTTGGCCATCATTATAGGCCGGATCTGATAGGCCAATCCTGGTCGCTGGCCAAAGTGTGTTTGGCTGAGTGAGAGAGACAGAGAGGGGGGGGGAGAGAGATAGAGAG